GGATGTTTGCTTTGACTACCAGTAATTACAATTCTAGTGAGGGCCTAGCCAATGCAGTAAGATGAAATATGTGAGAGATAAACATTGGACAGGAATATAGAATTTGCAGAATTGTATTAACTGAAACATGAAAACACTGTTCTCTCTGCTTTCCTTGCTTCCAGTCATACTGCATTTACTCTTCTGTAACTCAGTTATATACAACATATATATGAAATTACTTATACATATATATAATGTATATTTATATGGAATCTATATATAAATGCATGTTGTATGAATTAATGCACATTGTTTAACTAGGCCCCATTTGATGAACTTTGCGTTTCTTTTTTTCTTTACTATTGTAAACACTTCCTTGCCTTTGTGTACTATATTTGAAGGATAAATTTCCAGATCTTGAATTGCTAGATTTAAAACAGCCCAGATGTTCTCCTTCAACAGGTGAATGACTAAGCAAACTGTGATTTGCTCTGTATTCCAAATCATGGAATTCACATCAGCTGTAAAAAGGAGCAGACGATTGCTATACACTACAACTTGGATGAATCTAGGGAATTATGTTGAGTGAAAAAAGCCAATTCAAAAAGTATGATATACATGCTATATCATTTCATTTATTTAATATTTTTAAGTGACAAAATTTTTTCTCCTTCTCCCTCTGCCACCTCTATATTGAGCTATTATTGACAAATATAAGTTGTATTCTTAGGGTGTACAATGTAATGTTTTGATATATGTATACATTGTGAGAGGCCAGATGTGGTGGCTCATGCCTGTACTCCCAGCATTTTGGGAGGCCAAGGTGCATGGATCACTTGAGGTCAGGAGTTTGAGACCAGCCTAGCCAACATGGTGAAACCCTGTCTCTACCAAAAAATACAAAAATTAGCTGGGCATGGTGGCAAGTGCCTGTAGTCCCAGCTACTTGGGAGGCTGAGGTGGGAGAATCACTGGAACCTGGGAGGCAGAAGTTGCAGTGAGCCAAGATTGCGCCACTGCACCCCAGCCTGGGAGACAGACTGAGACCCTGTCTCAACAAACAAACAAACAAAACAAACACACCCCCAAGGCCCCCAAAAGGTTACATACTGTATTATTTCACTTATTTAACATATTTAAGTGATAAAATTTTCTTTTCATTGAGAAGAAGAAGATTTGTTCTTCTTCCTCAAGAATTGCTTTGGCTATTTGGGGTCTTTCGTGGTACCATATAAATTTTAAGACTTTTTGTTTCTATTTCAAGTGAAAAATGCCATTGGAATTTTGATAGAGATTATATTGAAACTGTAGACCAAAGTGGCAGTATAGATATTTGAACAAAGGACTATTATCCTTCATTCTGTTCATGTGGCTTATCACATTTATTAATTTGCATATGTTGAATCATCCTTGCATCTTAGAAATAAATCCCACTTGATCAAGGTGTAAGATCTTTTTAATGTGCTGTTGAAATAAATTTGCTAGTATTTTGTTGAAAAGTTTTACATCATGTTCATCAGGGATATTGGCCTACAGTCTTCTTTTCTTGTGTCTTCCCCTGGCTTTGGAATCAAGGTAATACTGGTCTCATAAAATGAGTTTGGAAGTGTTTTGTCATCTTCCTTCCCTCCCTCCCTTCCTTTTTTTTTTGACAGGGTCTTGCTCTGTCTCCCAGGCTGGTGTGATCCTCTCAGCTCACCACAAACTCTGCCTCCTGGTTCAAGTGATTCTCCTGCCTCAGCCTCCGCAGCTGCTGGGATTATAGGCACCAGCCACCATGCCCGGCCAATTTGTGTCTTTTTAGTAGAGACGGGGTTTCACCATGTTGGCCAGGCTGGTCTCAAACTCCTGACCTCGAGTGATCTGCCTGCCTTGGCCTTCCAAAGTGTTGGGATTAGAGGTGTGAGCCACTGCGGCTGGCCTAATTCTTATTTAAATATTTGGTAGAATTTATCAGTGGAGCCATCAGATCCTGGGCTTTTTTTTTTTTTTTTTTTTTTTTTTTTTTTTTTGGTGGGAGGTTTTTGATTACTGCTTTAATCTCCTTATTCATTATTGATCTGTTCAGATTTTCAATTAATGATTCAGTCCTGTTAAGTTATACTTCTAGAAATTTGCCCATTTCTTCCAGGTTATCCAATTTGTTAGTATATAATTGCTTCTTATATTCCTTATGATCCTTTATATTTCTGTGGTATCACTTGTAATATCTCCTCTTTCATTTATAATTTTGTTTCTCTTCTCTTTCTTTCTTAGTCTAGCCAAACTTTTGTCAATTTTGTTTTATTTCCAAAAACAAACTCTTAGTTTCACTAATCTTTTCTATTGCTTTTCTAGTCTATTTATTTATTCTCTAATATTTATTCCTTTCCATCTGCCAACTTTGAGCTTAGTTTGTTTTTCTTTTGCTAGGTCCTTGAAATATAAAGTTAGGTTGTTAACTTGAGATATACTGTTTTCTTAACATAGGCTTTTTTTTTTTTTTTGCTATAAACTTACCTCTTAGAACTGGTTTTGTGGGTTGGGAGCAGTTGCTCATGCCTGTAATCCCAGCACTTTGGGAAGCCAAGGCGGGTGGATCACTTGAGGTCAGGAGTTTGAGACGCGGCTGGCCAACATGTGGAAACCCTGTCTCTACTAAAATTATAAAAATTAGCTGGGCATGCTGACACATGCTTGGAATCCCAGCAACTCGGCAGGCCGAGTCAGGAGAATTGCTTGAAACTGGGAGGTGGAGGTTGCAGTGAGCTGAGATCGCACCACTGTACTCCAGCCTGGGCAACAGAGCAAGACTCCATCTCACACACACACACACACACACACACACACACACACACACACACACAGAACTGCTTTTGTTGTATCCCGTAAGTTTTGGTATGTTGTTTTCCCATCTTCCATTGTCCCAATATATTTTTTGATTTCCCTTTTGATTTCTTCTTAGACCTACTGGTTGTTCAGGAGTGTGTTGTTTAATTTTCATGTATTTGTGAGTTTTGCATTTTTTCCTCTTGTTATTGATTTCTAGTTTCATATTACTGTGGTTGGGAAGATAGCTGATATAATTTCAGTCCTCTTAAATTTAAGATTTGATTTGCAACCTAACATATTATCTACCCTGAAGAGTGTTCTTTCTGCACATGAAAATAATGTGTATTCTGTTGCCATTGTATGGAATATTCTATGTATATCTGTTAGGTATTTGTTCTATAGTGTCATTCAAGTCTGCTGTTTCCTTAATGATTTTTTGTCTGGATGATCTGTTCATTAGGAAAAGTGGGATATTGAAGTTCCCTACCATTGTTGTATTACTCTCTATTTCTGTTAATATTTTCTCTATGTATTTGGATGTTTTGATGTTGGGTGCATATAATTTACAATTGTTATATTATCTTGTTTAATTGACCCCTTCATCATTATATAATGACTTTTTTGTCTCTTACGACAGTGTGACTTAAAGTCTATTTTGTCTGATATAAGCATAACCACCCTTATTCTCTTTTGAATACTATTTGTATGAAATATTTTTTTCTGTCCCTTCACCTTCAACCTATGTGTGTTCTCAAAGCTAAAGTGAGTCTCTTGTAGGCAGCTTATAGTTGGATTTTTTTTTAATCCATTCAACCATTCTGTCTTTGCTTTGAATCCATTTACATTGAAATTAACTATTGATCAGTAAGGACTTACTATTGCAATTTTGTTGTTTTCTGACAGTTTTGTAGTTTCTTTCTCTCTTGCTATTTTCCTTTATGACTTTTGTTTTTGTATGCTTTTATTCCTTTCTCTTTATCTTTGATGTATCTACTACAGGTTTTACTTTGTGGTTACCATAAAGCTTGTATAAAACCTCTCATAGTTAGTCTATTTTAAACTAATAGCATTTTTCTTCAACTGCATAAAAATACTCTACACTTTAACTTCTCCTCTTACTTTTTCTTTTTTGTTTGAGACAGAGTCTCACTGTGTCACCCAGGCTGGAGTGGAATCACATGGTCTTGGTTCATTACAACCTGGGTCCAAGTGATTCTCATCCTTCATGCATGTAGGGGCCAGCCTGTAGTTTGAGGATGATGGGGCTGGCCTAGATCTTGAGTATACTAGGGTGTGCCTGGGGCCTGGGTCTGCTAGAATATGAGACTGTGGGGGCTGGCTTGGTGCCTGGGTCTATGGGGGCTGGCCTGGAGCCTGAGTTTTCAGGGACTGGCTTTAACTTGGAGCTATGGCGCCTGGCCTGGTACTGGGGTGGGTCTGGACCCCAGGTCTAGGGGGATAGCCCGATGTTAGTGCAGGCCTGAGCCTGGGGCCACAGACGATGTCCTGGCATTGGGTCTGAAGCCTGATTCTGTGGGAGTGGCTGAGTGCTGAGGTTCACTGTGGTGAGCCTGTTTCTGAGGTCCATGGAAAAGTCAGGTGCTCACTTTATTCTCTTTTCTTTCTTTCTTTCTTTTTTTTTTTAGATGGAGTCTTGCTGTGTTGCAAAATAAAATAAATACAAAAAATTAGCCGGGCGTGGTGGTGGGTGCCTGTAGTCCCAGCTACTCAGGAGTCTGAGGCAGGAGAATGGCATGAACCCAGGAGGTGGAGGTTGCAGTGAGCCGAGATTGTGTCACTGCACTCCAGCCTGGGTGACAGAGTGAAACTCCGTCTTAAAAAAAAAAAAAAAAGTTAGTAGCTTAAGACACCACACATTTATTTTCTCACAGTTTCTGTGGGTTAAAAGTCTGGGTGTGGCTTAGATGGGTCCTCTGCTTAGTCTGTCACAGGGTTGCGATCAAGATATTGGGCAGGACTTTACTCTTACTAGAGCCTCAGCTGGGGGAAGGATCTCCTTCCAAGCGCCCTGAGGTTGTTGCCAGAATTAATTTCTTTGTGGTGTAGGATTTATGATAGCTTATTTCTTCAAAGTCAGTAATGGAAATTAAGAGAGACAGGAAGACAGTAGAGTGTGTTAACATGAAGGAGTCTTAGATAATGTAACATAATCATGTGACATCCTCTCACTTTGTTATATTCTACAGGGTAGAAGTGAGTCGCAGGTCTCACCCATACTCAATGGGAGGAATCACAAAAGGACGTGAACACCAGGAGACAGAGATCTTGGAAGCCACCTTAAAGTCTACCTGCCATATACACCATATGTGACTGCACACCTCACCTCTTACCTCACGAAATCACTTGAGGAGGAATTCTGTGATGAAAATATAAATTTGCTGCCAGGTAAATAGAGACCTTACTTGAGCTGACAAAACCCAGACCGCCTGGCAAGTATTTCCCTTCTAAATTTTCATCTACAAAATGCAATTAAAAAACCACCAATCATTTGAGAAAAACCAATCCCATAAGAGAGGTACCAAACTCACTAAGCACAAAAACTAACATCTGAGATAGTAGAATTAAGGAAGGGAAGTAGGAAATATAAACACTAGTATTAATTTCTTAGAGAGATTCAAGAGACTATCACAACCATAAAAAGCTGCTAAGAAAAATAGGAAATCAGAAGACCTAAAATTTTAAAGTATGATTGCAGAATAAACCCCATTCAATAAGTGTGCTGAAAAGCCGAAGACTGAATTAGAATACTAGAAGCAGGAGACTCTTCCAGAATGCAGAATAAAAGGATGAAGAGATGTAAAGCATAATAAATAGACTAAAAGCCAGGGAGGATAGACCTTTAAGTTACAAAATTGATAGCTGTTTCAAAAGGAGATAAAAGAGAATAGAGGGAAGAGAACAATAACAAACAATAGAAGAAAATTTTCTAGAGCTGAAGACAGGCACAGAGTGCTGAATGGTATTAAAAAATGATCCTCCTATGACACATTAGGTAAAACTCTAGTACTTCAAGTATAAAGAGAGCATTCTTGAAGATTCAAGAAGGAAGAAAAAGCATTTCAAAAACAAAAAAAGATTACATATATATCTGACTTCTCAATAGCAATACTGGATATAAAGAGAAAATAGAGTTCAAAATTCTGAGAGAAAATTATTTTGCACCTAAAATCCTTTATTCAGAGAAACTATCAGTCAAGTATGGACAAATTAAAGTCGTTTTCATATATATAAGTATTTAGGAATTGTATCACTCAGAGCCGTTATCTGAAAGAATTATTTAAGGATGTACTCCAGCAAAATGAAAATGATAGATCAAAGAAAAAGGAAAATATGGGACATAAAAAGTGATGACACAGTAAACCAGCAAATCATAGAGTTAAGGATAAAGAATTTTGATGCATAACACAAAAGGGGTAACAGTTTGGAAAAAAATCTCCAGTGGCTTTCAAAGCAGGAAGTGAGAGTGGGGATCTGGGAGTAGAAGTGAAACATGCTAAGGGTTTTAATTAGGGCTTAGAAGTTAAAAGGAGGATATGGATATTGATTAACTACCACTGTGAAGAGAAAAATAGAAAATACAGAAAAAATTGAATAATGAAACTTCATGAATTTCACAGAAGTTAGACAAAGGATGGAAGAAAACTCAAGAAAGCATCACAATAGAAAACACAAGATATGGTGGCAAAAATAAACTCAAGTATTAGTATTCAGATTGCATGTGAATGAGTTAAACTCCTCTGTAAAAAGGCAGAAACTATAGCTACCATTTAGTGAGTGTTATTATGATTTACACACTGTGCTAAGCACTTTAAATAGACAATTTTGTTTAAAGCTAACAGTAAACTCTGCAAGACAGGTTCTATTTTTATTCTCATGTTAAAGATGAGACCCTGAGACTTACGAGAGATTAAGCCATTTGCTTCAAGTGAGAGGCCAGATTTGAACCCATGCTCTTTGATGGTTACGACCCATGCTCTTAATCATTCTATTAAACTGCCACTCAGCTTGGTTTAAACAATTACTTACATGTTATTTGTAAGAGATAAACCAAGGCAAAACAATATATAAATTCTGAAAAGAAAGAGTTGGAAAAAGATCTATAAGGCAAATGATAACCAAGATGAAAGGAGGCAGGGACAGTGATATGAATACCCGTGACATATCACGGGAACAAAACAATTTTGAGAACAGTGTGTATTGTATATACTGTTTGTATATACTATTCTGTTCATGTTAAAAATATATGTGTGTGTATGCTGCAGAATCAGTAGTGGCTTGAAGGGAGTATGCATTTAGATTGTTTGAGTTGTATAATGCTGTTTTACTTGTGTAATTAAAAAATATTTAAAAAATAAGAAATAAGCTTTTTTAAAAAAACTGGAGAATAGGCAGGTGCCCAGCTGTGTAATGCAAACCAAGAGAGAAACTAGGGAGAGAGGCTGTGGATTATGTTGGGTGAATACAAAAATAAGCCTTAAAAGTGGTGATAAAAGGGGGGATGCTTTTCAATAGAGGTGTCACCAAGCACCTTCACTCATCAAACTTTGACAATTTCCCCTTTCTATGTATGTATCGGGGCGGGGGGGTGGTGAGGGTGGAGGATCAGGAGGCAATGTGTGAGAGTGACAGTGTCAGCCACGTGTCTTCTGTTCAAAGCAATGCAGTGCTTTCAATCAGAAAGGAAAAATATGAAAAAAAAAGCCCTCAACTTTTCTTATTTCCTCTGAATTGGGTTGTCCGTCCCTTTGCAGTTGCTATGACAACAGCAGCCCTCCTCCTTCTTTATCTGGATCTATTTCCAAACTGAAAACAATGAATGTGAAAGATCAGAAAATAGGAAAAGCAAGTAGGCATTAAAAGCATTAGGATGATTTACCCCGGAGAACAGAATGCTAAGAGGTAGCAATTATATTGTTCTGAGCTATTAAAGGTGACTACTACATAAGTAGTTCCCTGCTTAGGCCCAAGATAAAATCAGATTTATTTTAACTGGAGGGAAGCAGCTTTAGAGAGAAGAAGTCCATGATAGAAAGTTCTGTGGTACTGCTTTGGCTCTGTCAGGGTAGAGTGGTGAGGAGGCTCTGAAATTTTTGTATCCTATAGTGGTTATTATTTTCCTCTAAAAAGTTCATCATCAGTGAAAGAACAACAACCATGACAACCAACACATGGTGCTTGCTCTGTGTCGAGTACCACTCTAAGTGTTTTATACTTATGATCTCACTTAGTCTTTACAGCAGTCCTATGAGAAAGATACCATCGTTATTCTCATTTTATAGATGAGAAAACTGAAGGTCAGAGAGCTCAGCAATTTGCCGAAGGCCAAACAGCTGATGAATGGCAAAGCTGGGATTTGAACCCAGGACATCTGTATTTTTAAGCAGTGATAATTTCTCACAGTAGATAATCACTCTCTTGAAATGGTTCTGGTTGCATTGGGGTCTTAGAAGGAATCCTGTATAAAGCCTTAGCTGACATGAGTTCTAATCTTATTTATCCATTCATTGAGTCATATTCTTTAATAACTATTTATTGAATACCTACTATATGCAATTTCTAGGCAGGCAGTGGGGAAGCAGCAGAGAGCAGGACAGACAAGGTGTCATCAAGCTAGTAGTTTAGTGCAGGACCACAGACCTGAACAAATAAATTAATAGAATGATTTCAGGTACTAACAGGTGCAGTGAAGGAAATAAAACTGGGCAATGAGGTAGAGAAGTGGGCGGATGGGCTGCTTTAGGCAGGATGGCTGGGGTAGACCTTTCGGAGGAGGTGACAATCTGAACCGAGACTTGGATGATGGGAAGGGGCTGATCCTGTGCGGATCTGGAAGAAGGGTCTTCCGGGCAGAGGAGTAGCAGATGTAAATTTGGGAACAAGCATGAAAGCAGGACAGTGAGGTTAGAGCACAGTGATCAGGGCTAGGGCAGGGGTTGCAAGTTGGAGGTGGCTTTGAATAAATTTTGAGAGTTTGGATTGAGAGTCGGGGTTACCACATGGGGCTGTGCTACTGGCATCTGGTGGGTGGAGGCCATGGATGCTGCTTACCACCCTGCAATGCACAGGACAGTCTCCAGCTTACAGAATGGTCCACCCCCAAATGTCCATAGCATCAAGGTTGAGAAACCTTGATTTCTCTATACAAGCCTGTAGCTTACAAGCCAAGGAAAGAAGATTGAAATTTATTTGAAGTGGAAGAGAATTCTTCAGATGACTTGAAGCAATGGAGTTTCTTTCAGGGATGTACATTTCAGAAGACAACTGGCTGCAGAATGGAAAACTGATTATAGCAGATCGAGAGTAGAAGCAGAGAGAAGAATGAATTTTTTTTAACTGTCTAATTTTTGTAGTCTTAGCAGTACTTAGTCCAGATGAATGGAAATGGTGGAGTGGTTTAGAGGAGCAGCAGTGGCAACAAAGGGGTTTTCGCTCTTCACCTTTCATCAGTTTTGGCAGAATTTGGGAGGCAGAGGGGACCAGGCTTGCTGGTAGATTAGGTATGGGTCTGCAGGAAAGGGAAAAATTAAAGATGACTTTCAGGTTGTGGCTGGTGCAACTGGGCACATGGACATGAGCTGTGAACTTACATGGGGAGAAATGAATTTGGGGATAATGAAGAAAAACCAAGAATTTAGATTTGACAAAACTAAATAAGACATAGTTATATGAGGAGGTATCACATAGGCTGTTGGAAAAACAGTCATGTATGTGATTGGCCTCACTGGGCCTTTATTTCCTCCTTTGGAAAATAAGTAAAGGGCTCTAAAATTCAACGATCCTAGAGCAATCAGGCCTGGAGATGAGAGACTGGCTTTGGTAGACTTTGGCAATATCATCTAGTTCTGAGACACTCGCCTATATGTCACTAGGTCCCTCAGAGTACCATTGTGAAAGTAGACAAGTGATGAAGAAATTAGACCCATTTTGCAGAAATGGAGTTGTGCTGCATGAGAACTGACATTTGTATGGAGCTAGAGTGAGTGAGTTGTTGAATAACAGCCTGGGAGCACCCTTTAAACTAGGTGTGGGATCTCCCCAGGGGCTGAGGGAGATTAATAGAAACAAAATCACACCATGCAACAAAAGGGGCTGTCTGAACTTCCAAGGAGAAGACAGGACTTGGAAGATTCTAACCTGTGATTCTCAGCAATTTCTTTCCCAGTGGCTCAAAGGCTGTTCTCTGCATCTCTTCCCAAATCCACTGTGGTCTTACATTCATGGCAAGGTTTGGAAAGACCTAAAGCAAGTAAAATATCTTGTTAAATTTGCTTGATGTTTCCTTGGTATCTATCCTCAGGCTGAAAGGGGGCTCATTCTTTGACATTACCTGGAGCCAAGGGAGCTGAGACATATTTTTGCAAAAATGAGATGGTGTGAGAGGAAAAGAGGAAGATTGAGAGTGAAGTTCCTTTTGTTTTTGTTTTTGGAGGGTAGGGCAGTAGCAGGGAAGACACCACATCCTCTGCTTCTGTGAGTGATGGGGGTCGGGGAGAGCCCAGGGGAAATAATCTGACTCAGTTACTGGTAATTAAAGGAAGAATGTCAAGTCTCCCAGAGGATCATTGCTTATTGGAGAAGCAGGGAGCAGTCTTGCTTGCAGCTACTTACAGGAGGAAAAGTAAAATGAGCCCTGTGTTGACGAAGTGTCCTGAAGCCAGAGAAACATTCTACAAAGGGCATTGCCTCCAAGACTTGCTGGATTTCTTCTGTTGAACCATAAAGCTAAGCCAAAAAAGAATCTTAGCAATTAGTTTAAGAGAGAGACAGAGAGAGAGAGAGAGAGAGAGAGAGAGAGAGAGAGAGAGAGAGAGAGAAACTAACATCGGCAAATATTTTTCCAGTGCTTGCCACATGCTAAGCTCCGTGTTAAGAATGCATTAACAAAATTAGGGTCTAGAGCAACTATTTTAGGCTTCTGGTCAGTATAGTTTTTATCATAACTATCCAATTTTGCCATGGTGGGGTGTAAGCAGCCACAGCCATATGTAACTGAATGAGTATGGCTGTGTTCTGATAAAGCTTTCTTTACAAAAACAGATGATGGGCTGGATATGGGCTGTGAGCTATAGTTTGCCAACCTCTGGTTTAGAGTGTGGCTCTTACACCACACTGTGCACCAGGGTTATGTGAGAACTTCATAGTAATGCTGATGTTAGCCCCATCTCCAGAAATTCTAAGTGTGGTTGGGAGTGGGACCTGGGCATGAGTCCTTTAAAGAAACTCTTCAGGTGATTTGAGGCACAGTCAACGATTAGAATCAGGAGGTTTAGGGTTGTGGTTTTTGCTTGGTTACACAACAGAATTGTGTGTGTGTGTGTGTGTATGAAGAATACTTATGTCTGGCACCACCCTTAGAGATACTGGTGTAATTGGTCTGGATATGGTCTGGAGTTCAGAAATTTTTAAAGTTTCCCAAATGTTTCTACTGTAAAGCCAGAGGCAATTTCAACACAGTGTGATAATTGTGGGACAGGAGCAATTTCAGCAAGTGAGTTATTTATTTATTCATTGAACACTTACATTGTAGTTTCTGGTGTTAAGCAAGGGTACTAAGTGTTGATACAATGAACTCATTTAATTTTCGTGACATTTTCTAAGGTAGGTACGATTAACATCCCCATTCTGCAGTTGAGTAAACTGAGGTGCAAAGAGTTTAACTGGGAACAAGGGACGTATTTTGCAGGAAGGTGTTTTAGGGAAAACTCCTAGGAGAAGGTGATGTCTGAGAAGGACATATATAAGAGAGCCAGGTACACGTAGGGTGGAGGAGGAAAGTAGAGTGAGGACTGCACCCCAGATGTAGCCATGCCAAGGCATGGAGGTAAGAGATGGTGAGAAAGGGCAGGTGAGCCCAAAAATTGGGGCTTAGCCAGGGAGGGTTCTTGGCTTCACCCAGCAAGGAATTCAAGGGTGAGCCAGTGGTGTTAGACAGCAACTTTTACTGAAGCAGCAGTGTACAGCAGCAGCAAACGTATTGCTTTTTGCAGAGCAGGGCTACCCCATAGGCAGTGTGCCCAGAGTAGCAGCTCAGAGGCAGGGCTGCAGTCATATTGATACCCACTTTTAATTACATGCAAATCAAGAGACAGATTATGCAGAAATGTCTAGGAAAAGGGTGGTAACTTCTGGGTCACAGAGTCATTGTCATGAAAAGGGATGGTAACTTCTGGGTATTGCTAAGGCAATGGTAAACTGACATGGGACACTGGTGGGTGTGTCTCATGGAAAGCTGCTTCCGTCCTGTCCCTGTTTTAGCTAGTCCTCAGTTTGGTCGGTCCAGTGTCTGAGCCCTGCCTCCTATCTCAACAGCATGGCATTTTCTGTAAACAGTGGGTATACAAGTTGACTTTACTGGGGTGCAGAGTGTACTGTGTTCTTAGGGACCTCAGCAATAGTTTTTTTTTTTTTTTTCAGTTGAGTGCTGGGATGAATTAAGAAACCCATTTCCCATTTAGAAAAAAAAAAATGCAGCTTATTCTTGGGGCAAACAGGGAATAGGTTAAGGAATGAATAAAAGGGGCCGAAATGGGAGTCACAAGTGAAGATAATTCCTGATAGAACCTTGAAGAAGAGAAGAAATACATGGTGATAATAGGAAGGAGAGATGAAATTAAGGGCACGATTTATTTGAACTGGGAGAGACTTGAGTAGGTTTAGTGACTGGCAGGGGACAGAGCAAAGGGAGAGGTTGAAAGTGCAGGGGAAAGCAGTGAATGATGGACAGTGTTCTTGTGAAGAAGTCATAGGATCTAGAATGTGTGAGGAGGAAGGACCTTCTTCCTCTGGGAAGGAAAGGATTGTAGGGATGCATATATTTTGTAGGTGAGTGGGTAGATAGGCAGAGGAAGTGCTAGCTGATGTTTTTTCACTTGTGGCAATTTTGGTTGCAAGGAACAGAAACCTACTTAAGCTTGCACAAGAGAGATTATCAGTTAGAACTGCATCCAGAAATCCAAGTGTAGGTGCTTAGTTCAAAAGAAATCTTATGTTTCTCAAATATTGAGAACCTAGAGTAGGCAGATCAGGGATAGTATCAGCTACTTAGGAAATAATAAATAATTTAAGCTCTTTCTAGATATCTGATTGACTAGACTCAGTGTGTAAATTTTGCCCTCATGGCCACATGATGTTTACTGTACCTCAAGCATCATATCTGGACTCCAAGCAGGAAAGAAGTGCTGATATGGTTTGGTTGTATCCCCACCCAAATCTCACCTTAAGTTGTAGTAATCTCCACATGTCAAGTGTGGAGCCAGGTGGAGATAATTGAATCATGGGGGTGGTTTTCCTCGTACTGTTCTTGTGGTAGGGAATAAGTCTCACGAGATCTGATGGTTTTATAAACGGGTTCCCCTGTACAAGCTCTCTTGCCTGCTGCCATGTAAGATGTGACTTTGCTCTTCCTTCACTTTCCGCCATGATTGTGAGGCCTCCCCAGTCATGTGGAACTGTGAGTGAATTATACCTCTTTCCTTTATAAGTTAGCCAGTTTCGGGTATGTCTTTATTTGCAGCGTGAAAACAGACTAATACAAGTGCAAAGGGTACATATAAGTTGAGCCTCTTCATTTTTTTCCATCAGGAACATTTTTCCCTGGAGACCCTGGCAGTAGTTTACCACTTGCATCTCATTGGCCACAGAAGGTCATATAACCCTCCTATTTGCAAGAAGGTTTGGGGAGGCAAATATGTTTATTTTATTTTTAATTTTTTTAAAGAGACTTGGTCTTGCTGCATTACCCAGGCTGGTCTTGAACCTCTTGGCTCAAACAATCCTCCTGCTTCAGCCTCCTGAGTAGCTGGGACTACAGGCTCATGTCATGCATCTGGCAAAGGTAAGTATATTTCAACAAAAATCAGAGTGTTATTTAGGGCAAAAAGGAGAAGGTAATGTGGATAGGCAAACAGCAAGGTCTTCTGCAGAAGAATGCATGAAAAATCTCACCTGGGTGTGGCAGCTCTTGCCTGTAATCCCAGCACTTTGAGAGACTGAGGCAGGAGGTTCACATGAGGCCAGGGGTTCAAGACTAGCCTGGGCAACATAGCAAGACCCCATCTAGACAAAAAATTAAAAAAAAAATGTAGCCAGGTGTGTTGGTTTGCACCTTTAGTCCCACGTACTTGGAGAGGCTGAGGCAGGAATATCACTTAAGGCCAGGAGTTTGAGGCTGTAGTGACCTAAAATCAGGCCACTGCACTTGAGCCTGAGCAACAGAGTGAGACCCTGTCTCTAAAATAAAATTAAAAAAAAATCTCAGAAAGTCCAGCTAACCAACCAAAGTAGAGCCAGACCTCATAGAGTTTGGAACTGGGAGCTATGATGCTCCTTGTCTAATGAACGGCAGGGAATTGCTATGTTTTCCCTGGGCATTGGCTCTGGTTTCCTTTCTCCACTCATCAGTGTCTTCTGTTTATATGTTCTTTCTACTTGATATTAACCTTTACATATCCATATCATACTGGCTGCCCACATCACTTTTTTTGTGTGTGTGTGTGAGACGGAGTCTTGCTCTGTTGCCCAGGCTGGAGTGCAGTGGCGTGATCTCGGCTCACTGCAAGTTCCACCTCCTGGGTTCACGCCATTCTCTGGCCTCAGCCTCCTGAGTAACTGGAACTACAGGCACCCGCCACCATGCCTGGCTAATTTTTTTTGTGTGTGTGTTTTTAGTAGAGACGGGGTTTCACCGTGTTAACGGTCTTGATCTCTTGACCTCGTGATCCGCCCGCCTTGGCCTCCCAAAGTGCTGGGATTACAGGCCTGAGCCACCACATCCGGCCGCCCACATCACTTTCTTTTAGCTGCTTCAGCTTTGTAATTCCAAATTCAGGCAAATATCAGATTGGCTGATCCTAATTTTGTGAGCCAGGCTTACAAATTATTCATGACTGGCTAATCAATGGATGGTGCATTGGAAAGGATCATGTGACTTGAATCTTGGCCATGCTCTACATGCATACATGCTACAGGAACCATGAGGGGTAGTTTCCTCTTGAAGTTCTGGGGAGGTGAGGTAATACAGGATTTTTACTTTCTTTGGGAAGCAGAAGGTCAGGTCTTACTCTAAGGGTGATCAGAGAAGAGGAGGTTAAGAAAATTTATGCTGTAGTTTGGATATTTGACCTTCATCCTCATGTTGAAATTTGATTCCCAGTGTTGGAAGTAGGCCTAGTGGAAAGTGTTTGGGTTGTGGGGGTGGATCCCTCATGAATAGATTAATTCCCTCCCTGAGTGGGAGTACTGAGCGAGTTCTCACTGTATTAGTTCCCTTGGGAGCTAGTTGTTAAAAGGAGCCTGGCACCTTGCTCCCCTCTTGCTTTCTCTCTTATTATGGGATTTCTGCACATGCTAGTCCCCTTGGTTATCCACCATGAGTGGAAGCTCCCTAAAACCCTGACCAGAAGCAGATGCTGGTGCCATGCTTCTTGTACAGCTTATGGAATCATGAGCCAAATAAATCTCTTTTCTTTAGAAATTACCCAGCCTCAGGTATTTCTTTATAGCAACAGGAAAGGACTAATACAGTTGAGGAGACTACAAATCTGAAACAACTATGGAAAAAAAACCCCAGAAGATATTCAGAACAGCATGAAGGGCTCAGATGAGTTTTGAGACCAGAATTTTGCAATTATTCCATTCTTTGTAATGATATGATTTCTTCCAGCAGAGCTCACAGCCTAGTGAAGATGTGTGGGAGACAATTACTGGATTCATCCAGGGCTGGCATTTTTCCAGGTAGGTGAGAAAGTCAGACATTGATACAAAAGATTAAAATATTGAAAAAGGAGCTAGGATGATTGTCAGCTGTTGCCAAAAAGAAATCTTAGAATTTAAGATCTCAGAGATGTGAAATTTTTTGTTGGATGGATGACTTTATGGTCTAGGGTGTGAGAAGATGAGAGAAGATGTTCAAAGAGGAGTGGAGGTGAAGGCCACTGAGTTGAGCGGGCAAAAGATTTGAGAGGCATGGATAGTGAATGGGGTGCTCAAATGGATACTAAAGTCACTTGGGATAGTGATAGTGCTTGGAACAGAGAGGAAAATGATACACCATGATATTTATTAAAAAAAAAAAAAAAAAAGAGAGTGGCTAGGAATGAGTGGTTAACTATAATGTAAAGGCATAAAGAGTTAAATCTGGAATCACTTTTGACCCTTCTTTCTTTCTCACTATCCATACTCAACAAATCACCAGATCTTATAAATTCCATTTCATAAGACTTTAACCCATTTATGTCTTCCATTTCCACTGCCATCACCCTAGTATAAGTCATTATACATTTCCTCCCACCTTTGCTATTATGATAACCATTAACAACCACTTTTGAGACTCTCCAAGCCATTCTCTGCATTGTGATTTATAATTTGTGAGATTATGAATCTTATCACTGCTTAAGACTCTTCCATGGCTTCCCATTGCTCTTAGGATAAAACCTATGTGGGAAATTGTATCAATGTTCAAAATATTTAATGCCCTTCCTGGAAGAGGATTCTACTTCCCTGTCTCACTAATGTCAAGCATGGCCATGTGACTTGCAGGGACCCTCCATGCAGGAGGATTATATATTCCTACTCTGTTGAACACAAATGTAGCCATGTGACTTGCTTTGGCTAATGGAACGTGGGCCAAAGTGATGTGTGTTATTTCTAAGCAGAAGCTTTAAAAGCCAGATATGTGGCTTCTCTTTTCTCTTCTTTTCCTCTTTTTTTAAGGCTGGCATTGGCCCAGATAAAGACTGATCCATCAGTGTTGAAGGCAACGTTAAGACATGACCCATGTGGACATATAACATGAATGGGAAATAAATCACTATTTTAAGATGTTGATATTTATTATTGCAGCAAAACTTAATATGGTCTGTAAGGCTCTGAGTGATTTAATGGTTTGGTCTGACTTCTCCAGCCATATCTCTCAAACATCTCCCCCTTTACGTCACTTAATCTTATTTTTCTTCCAGATCTCAGCTAAATGTCACTTCCCCAGAAAAGTCTTTTGTAACTTCCCTTCTCCCTCGCAGCTCTGGACTAATTTAGATCACCTATTATTCTGGTTCGTAACACTTTGTTCTTTTTATTCATATCACTCAAACACAGTCTGTAATTTTTTTTTTTTTTTGTGAGTGTGATTATCTGTTTACTCCAGGAGAAGGTAAATTTAGAGAGGACAGACATTATGTGGGTGTATTTCTTCATTATATTGCCCTGCCTTGTATACAATAAGCACTCAATTAAAATTTCTTCATCAAGTGGACAAATTTGAGTCCAGATTAGAGGTGAGCCCAGAAGTCAGAGACAGTCTGATGCATCAAATATGAAGATGGTGGTGGAAAGCAAGAAATGGATCCAGTGCAAATGAAGTCAGGTTGTGGGTCAAAGCAGGTGGTGGTACATGGAGAAATAATCAGATGCAAACGTTTACGAAGGAGAGGTCACTTATAAGATGCCAGACACCATTTCTACAGGCAGGGAAGTAGCTGTTCAGGGCAAACAACTGATGTGTACACTAAGCTGCCACTCAGCCCTCCCTCTCTCCTTTTCTCATTTTGTTTTTTATCATTCCATCAACTTGTGGAACATCTTCTGGATATTGGGCTTTTTTTTGTGGATGCAGTAATAAATGAGCAGCTAGAGATTACCAAATAGAGAAGACAGATATGAACCTAATAAGTCAGGCACAGTGGCTCATGCCTGTAATCCCAGCACTTTGGGAGGCTGAGGCAGGAGGATTTCTTGAGCCTAGGGGTTCAAGACCAGCCTGGGCAACATGGTTGATATGGTTTGGCTGTGTCCCCACCCAAATCTCACTTTAAATTGTAATAATCCCCACATGTCAAGGGTGGGCCCAGGTGGAGAAAATTGAATTATGGAGGTGATTTCCCCCATACTGTTTTGCAGTAGTGAATAGTCTCATGAGATCTGATGGTTTTATAAATGGGAGTTCCTCTGCACAAGCTCTTTTGCCTGCTGCCATGTAAGGGATGCCTTTGCTTCTCCTTTGCCTTCTGCCATGATTGTGAGGCCTCCACAGCCATGTGAAATTGTGAGTCCATTAAATCTCTTTTCTTTATAGATTACCAAGTCTTGGATATGCCTTTACTAGCAGTGTGAGACCAGATTAATACAACAGTGAAACCGTAGCTCTACAAAAACAAAACAAAACAAAAACCAAAATACCCAAAATTAGCCAGGTGTGGTGGTACATGCCTGTGGTTCCAGCTACTTGGGAGGCTGAGATGGGAGGATCACCTGAGCCCAGGAGGTGGAGGTTGCAATGAACCGAGATTGTGCCACTGCACTGAAAACAAACAAACAAACAAACAAACAGACAAACAAAAAACAGTGATAGATGAATCTTTCTTTCAAAAGAGAAATTCAGAGACATGGGAAATTTCAAAGAGAAATAAGCCTCTCTTCACCTTTCCTGTCTCTGTTCCTTCTACTCAAGTGTCAGGACGTTACCATTGGTTCAGAGAATCAATTTCCAGAATTTTATTTATTAAAATTTAAAACTTTAAAATCAAAGTAACAGTTATACATGGTAACAAGTCATATAATACAGAAGTATTTACTGACAGTCACAGCCTTTCATTCCACCTGAAGTCTTCCCTAGAGGCAACTTCTTCTTTTTTTTTAAAAATGATTTCTCTTTTTAGTTGTTTGTTTCCACTAGAACTTTGAGCACTATACTTACATCTCTATTTTTTGGCTTATCTACTGCCAGCAATTTTTATTTCTGTTTACAGTGTTCTTCTCCTTAATCTTTGCCTGCCCCAATTTTACTCATTCTTCATGGCCTCACTTTATTAAAAAAAAAAAAACACATAATCCCATGGTCATAGCAAATTTCTCCACTAATCTTCTGGTGGTCATGAGATACTGTGGTCTAGGGTCACTCAAGATGATAATAACATTACTTCTGTCTGGGTCCTGTTCACT